GAAGATGCCTCTAACTGCCCGGTCAAAGAGCTTCTTGACATTTCCCATCGCCTTAAGACAGCAAGTGAAGTAAATGCAGCAATTCTTACAAGCCAGAGTCATGAAAAAGGTATTGGTCGATGTTGTACTGGTTATGTTCTAGTAACCACAAATTTATTTTTCTCGAGCATCATATTTCCTGTTGAAAGATTCAAAGTCATATTTCTTCTCTAAATAAGGGCTTCTCCCGCAATCAGAATACGTCATTCATTCCTTCACTGCTACATGTGTCATCCAAATTCCTCTTAAAACTTTATACTTTCCTCAATGGTTGATGTACCAACTCAATGTTTGTGAACAAACAGATCCTAAACTCCCAAGTTTGTTGAAGATGTTGATTTGGGCTCAGAAGCAACTGGATGAGAAAGCAGTGTATCCGCACATAAATGATTTGTCTACTGGTCAGCTTGAAGACCCATCAGAATAATTCCGTATGTTGTTTCAGCAATTGAAAAAAAGCTGCAAAAGGGAACAATCAATGGTGCCGTTCTCTTCCCTAGGATCGGAATAACTTTAAGATTCATATGTTTAGCGAATGCTTTCTGCTTTCCCTTTTATTCTGCATCGGGATTTGTTGGACTCGGAATTGTTAGGATATGTGGTTGGGGAACATAAAGCTTGTTGTAGGCAATGAATCACTCTAGTCAAATGTTCTAATTGTCAACATATTCCATGTATAGATGAAACCCCAAAAGTTTAAACCGTCTAACCCGTTCTTCATTGTAACAAGTGAGAATTAACACCAAGATTACCACTTATACAAAGTGTGTACAATCTTACAATCCAGCCTGAAAAAGGAGGCTAATGACGCGTTTAGTGGGAAGCAGAGACTAAAACACATAGTGATTGAAAGCGAAGAGGAAGCTAAAAGAGGAAAGAGGGAATGGTCAAGAACCGATAAAGACAAGAGAAGCCAAAGTGATGTTGCAGTCTATGAGCATTTCCACCTCCATTGTCCAAGCTCAAAGGATTTTTCTTATTCACTTCCTCTGCAAAATATTATTCTGGTACTGACACGAAGCTTTGAATCTCGCCTCCAATCTCAAAACTTAGCAAAAAGGGTCTTCTCAAAACAAAGGAAATGAAGAGAAATTTCCAAAGTTTATAAGCTAAAACGAAACCGAATCATCAGAAATAGGATCTGCTGGTAAAGACATTGGGGATCACGAGAAAGAGATACAATAGCAGAGGAAGTGGTGGCTCAAGAAGAAGCTTTGGGCAGTGAGCCTAAAACATCCCTTTCGGACTGTCTGTTTTTAGCTTATTTTGTCTCAACTCTCTCAAGGAAACAACATTTCTGCCCCATAACA